ATTGTAGTACCTATACTATTTTGGGGGGTCTTTATCATGATTCTAATACTATTTTGGAGGGTTCCTTATTATAGTTGTGAAGGCTCCTGTATTACTTCGGCGTTTTGAGAAGGGGTGTGGGATACGGGGTGTTGAAAACATCGTTTTGGGGTTCAGGGTGCTTCAGAAGTTGCTCATAAGATGTAGTGTTGTTTTCGACAAGGCCTCTGGGATTTTGGATGGCCTTCCTGAGAGGCTACAGGATTCACGGGTTCCAAGAGGTTAAGTTTTCGAAATGGCCTAAGGTCGAGGGCTTCGTGCATGGCATGGGGCGCGGGGTTGAGGACTTGGTAAGTTATAGGACCTAGGAGCCTCACGACTCAGATTCAGTCAGGCTTTTTCGTTCCAGTGCTAGCTAAATGGGCGCGGATTTAGTTCAAGCTTCAGGGGTTAATGGACGAGCCACAACAATTGCGTACTTAAATAACGGACTCTTTGCTCGAAAATCCTGGATGTGTTAGGTTTCAGTTGACTTCCGAAGTTGCGCAACTAGTCGGCAGCGGTAGACGGCTTGCGGGTGTGGAACAGAGTGTTCAAACCCTAAACGCTGGACCCTAAACCCGAAACCCTTAACCCTTAAATTAAACCCTAAACTCAAGGAGACAGTATCGTGGTGGACCTTGCCAGGCTTGTCCGAGTGTGAGTGTCAAAAAACCCGAAACCCTAAACCCTAAGGCTAAGCCTGGAATCCGGAAGCCCTACGCGCGAAACCCAGGTGAAAAACGAGTTTGCTTTGGAGAACATCAAGGCGAACAAGCTCGATGGCAAGGTCTCCAGCCTTTGCCGCAGCTCCATCGTTAAGTACTCTTTTTGGAGGCTTTTGTGCGTATTGGGTGGTCCATGGGCCTTGTAGGGGTCTCAGTGCTATTTTTTCAAGTAGGTCCCATGAATGACATAATAATACATGCTAAGACCTTAACCTACTGTACATCACTTGGTCAAATCCCTCAGGCAACTCCTTAGATGTTGCGGGCCTTGGCCGGTTTGATCGCATCTGCGCATTCCTAAAGTTCCAAGCTTTGGAGAACCTCGAGGCGCTGGTGTCGGCAATGAGAGCGGCTCGGTGTGCCAGGAGTACAAGTTTTTTTTTGGAGGGTTTAGGGTGTAGTACCCTTTTACACTTTTGCCATTTTGGGGTCTCCTTACGAAATACTCGATCATAGGAGATAAGGGATTTTTTTGGGGGGGCTACTGGGGGACCTAGGAGGGCGGGACGCTGCACTTCTACAACCACGAGTCCAAGGATGGGAGGGTTGAAATGGTGGAGCCGACACCGTAAATGGGGGAAGGTAGGATTCAGGATTCCCTTCGAGTATTGTAAGTCTAATCGCGAAAAGACACCCAAAAGGAATATCTTGGTTTACTACAGTTTTTAAAACAGGAACCTTATAAGGACTCTTTTTTGGGGTTGCCCGGCACCTACCTTGAAAGGAGGAATATCAACGTGAACCTACCGAACTGCTGCGTTCCATGAAAGGCATGTCCGGAAGCAGAGCTGTGGAAATCACTTGGCGTGGCAAAGTCCCGCGCAAATCCATTTCACCCAACATGTACAGGGTGGGTGTAGATTTCCGCATCTCATAGTTCACTTGCAGGTTGGATGCACCAAAGCGAAGTGCAAAAGTGGCTGCACAATTCTTAAGAGCAGTGGCCATGAAGGATTGGAAGAATCAGGTGCTTGCCATGCTAGCCATCGTGGAACCGCCCGAGGTCACATACTCCTCCTGACAGATGGAGTCTGGCCCTTGGCCCTTGGCAGAGGCAAGAAGATGCCAAGTTTGCTTCCCCGAAGAGTGTATCGTAAGTACCCTTCCATGCAGTGACTTGGCAGTGGCCCTCGCTGAAATCTCTGAGACGTCCACTGTCGTCAATGGTTTTTTGTTCCTTGTGTAGGCATGTCAGTGCATGTTGAGGCCCGTGAAAGCACTTCGGTGAATGTGCTGCGTTGCAGGGTCCGCGCTGCATACTTTTGAGATTTTCAAAAGCTCGGGAACCCTAATTGTCGGAAACGCAGGATCTCGAATATGAGGAGCCTACATTTACTCCCCTGAGTCCTCAACCCCAAGGAAGTCCCTAGCGAGAGCATAGTAAGTCCTAACCCTTTCACGAAACGGTTGTTGCCATGCAGTTTCTAGTTCGGGCTTCAAGCTTCTCCAGCCCTGAAGCGGAACCATACTATTTACATTCGTAGCAGCTACTGTGTCGTTATGTTCGAAAGTCGTCATGTTTAGAGTTAAGCATTGCTAGAAATGCTATTATCTATTGTTGTAATTATGACAGTTACCATTTGCCATTTGAACCATGCTTTTCGTCGATGTTGCAGTTGCTTTGGGTCGCGGCTCGCGCGGTAAGATCCGGCTTTAAATTAGAGAACTATCCATACAGTACCTGACAATGTGGAGAGCAAAAGACCCACAACTCTGACGGCTTTGGCCCCAGAACATCCCAAAGAATATGCCTCCACTCCCGTGTGAGAGGGGAAAAGACCTTAACTTCATACTTTGAGACCTCCTTGTGATAAGTTTTCTAGACCATGCGAGAGAGCACCTTCGGTGGTTGAAATCGTTGCCATCCCTAATGTAGGGGCCTAAATAAACTACCTATACTATTTTTTGCGGGCTCCTTGTTTTAATTGTAGTATAGTGGGTCCTAAAACCCTATTCTAATCATTAAGACCCCTATATTACACTATTTTGGGGGTTCCTTACTGTAATTAAAGTATCATGTACCCCATAAACTAGGTGGCAATTTGGGAAACTTAAGAATTCCCCCTTATGGTTTCTATAGAGGTACCTATTCATAAACACTTTTCAGGGCCCCAAAGAATACAACCCAGTAAAGCCTCGACTCTCGACCCGAAGCTTGGGTGCCAGTGCTTTTTTGGCCCTAAACCCTAAACCCTAAACCCTAAACCCTAATCCCTAAACCCTAAACCCTAAACCCTAAACCCTAAACCCTTCGCGGTCCTGGCTCAGGTCCCCACCCATGGAGATCCAGAGGATGGGCTCCCGGCTGTGTAGGAAGTAAAGGGATCCTTAGTTCCCCAAGAGCCAACCTCTAAACTTTTTTGGGCTCTTATAATCTAGTAGTAATCTGAAAGTTTAACCTCTTGTTTCCCTTGCTTGTAGGGCAAGTGAGTTAAAGTGATCAGAGGGCTTCGGGTTTCGGAGTACGTGCAGAGCTGGTTGAAGGTTTACGAGGTTAGAGACGAAACATAGTCGTAATGGTATTACTAAGCTAGTTACGAGCAGTAGTGGTAGGGAGAAAAAGGGGAATTGAGCTCACCATCGTATCCACGATGTTTTTGATGTTAGGGCTACAAGGCAAAAACGCATAGTGTTGGTGCCAGACTGACTTCATTTCTAACATCAGTGTGTGAGTACGTGAAAAGCCATGAAGCAACAGCAGACTTCACCAGCAGAAAAATCATCATTGTCGGTGAAGCATTCGCACATGCCCCTAGTGTTGTGAAGAGGTTCATGCTTTGAGTTTCGTTCAGACTATTGCGCTCACGGGGTTTGTCAGGATAGAGTCGGATTTTCGCAGCGGAGCTTCGGGTCTTAGATTGAAGCTCAGATTGTACGTAGATGCAGCAGGCTGGTGGAAAAGCTTGTGAGGCTTGGGGCCGTTCAGCAAGAGCAGGCAGAAGAATTCCAGCGAGTTAGGCTACGATGTGGCGCAAGCAAAAGTCCAAGTGAAAAGGGTTGTCGACTTCATGTTTTCTTTTGCACAAAGAGTTGTGTAATCGCCCACCTCATAGCACCGGCTTTCAGGTACAGTATTCTGTGCAGTGCTACCACCCCAGCTCGAACCCGCGCCAATGCATGCCCAAACTCAATTCCCAAACTTCAACAAGCCATGTAAGATAGATGTTCGAAGACTTACCAGTAGTACAGCATCCTGATTCCCTTACTTTCGCTATAGAATACCGCTAAGACTCTCTTCTAGCCATCAAGTTCCCGTTGCTCCCAGACAATCACACGAAGGACACCCGAAACTGTTAGGTTTGAACTCAAGTCCCTAAACCCTAAACCCTTCATCTTGACCTAAATCCTTACCCTTTTGAAACCGGACTTGATGACTGCCAGTAAATCCTTACCCTAAACCCTAAACCCTTAATCTTACCCTAAACCCTAAACCCTTAATCTTAACCTAAACCTAAACCCTCAATCTTAACCTAAACCTAAACCCTTAATCTTAACCTAAACCTTCAATCTTGAACCTCGAGCCGCCTCCATTCAAGCCCAAACCCGGAAACCCGGAAACCCGGAAACCGTTGCTTGCTGGAGGCCCTTGCAGAGCGGGCCTTGGCACAGCAGCTGGGGGTCGCAGTGACCTGAGAGCCCTTGATTTGCCTTTCTCTTCGGGTTCAGCCTTCAAGGGTTCAGGGCTGAGGGTTTGGGGTTTGTGCTTAGGGGTGCTGGCATTCATCAAGCCCAGATGTAAAAAAGGGCTTGGGGTTTAGGGTCTTGCGGTGCGTGTTTTCCACTGCTTGGGCACACGTTCTGGGCAGAGAGAGCTTCCGGGCGACGAGGCAAGCCCGCCGAAAAAACAAGGGTTTTGCCGTTCAAGGGTTGGTTGTTCAAGGTTTATTGTTTAGGGGTTCGTGGGTGGTTATGAAGTAGTGTAGGAAGGGTAGTTAGTGGGGGATCACAAGGATTGAGAACTATCGCTCCCTGAGTTCCAACCATACTTGCGAAGCCCCCAGGGCCCCATGATCTCTTCAGAAGGGTTCCTAAACCCTAAACCCTAAACCCTAAACCCTAAACCCTAAACCCTAAACCCTAAAGGGGTGGCTTGGAGCTCAGGGCTTTGGGCCCCGATTCGAAAAGAAGGTTCGGGCTCCGAAAGTTTCGGGCAGGTTCTACGGCTCTGAGTGTCCTGGGGTTAGGCCTCTAGCGCGTTAGAAGCTTTGGGTTTGGGGTTGAGGGCCTGTGGTGGTTTTTGCGAGAGTTTTACGGATTTGGGGGATGAGCTTCGGGTTGAGTTCAGGGTGTTGTCGCTCCGAGCTTTGACGCGTGTCAGCAGAAGTTGTTAGGGTTTCTTGCTTTTTGTTGCTGGTGCAAGTTGCTGTTGCCAGTAGCTGCATTTTCCCCATTTCAATTATGCTGATTTCTTGCCCACACCGTGTGTATGATCATGGTGTCTCCGTATCTTCAAGCTTCGCATAATTCAGACGAAACCTTCCTCTTCCTGGTAGGGCGGCGACGGCGACTACTGGCTGACGGTGATGACAACGGTGATGGTGATGAGGGTGCTGGCGGTGGTCGTGTCGTGCTTTCTGTTTTGGCGCCAGAGCGTTTTACCGGCGCCTCGAGGTCATTCATACCGTCTACTTGGGATGGTCGGTGGCTCATCTGAGGGCTCCTAGCGGCTATCTCCAGCTTCCTGTAGGTTTTCGAGTCGCGGGGTCGGCTTCGCACCAGTCTCAGGGATGCGTCCCGAAGCCAACGATGTTTCGAGCTCGGGCCGTCGTTTTGCGCTGGGGTCTTTCCTAGAGTTCGAGACTCATGGCTGGCATGATTTCATTCTCTGCCGCAGCAGACAGATGTGAGCATGTGTCCTGTCTTGGCGGCCAAACAGGATTCTTGGGCGATTGCCGGGAAGGCCCAATTTGAGTCATGCAGCTAGTCACACACACACACACAAAAACAAAAGTAGAGGTAGCTTTCTTCAGTGTTTGTCAAATGCGGATCCAGCTGGCTGCGTGTTGCAAGCATGCCCACAGTACCGCCGTTCCGGACCCATTCTCCGAACCTTGATTCACCTACAGTTACACCCATGCTGAAGCCCCGTCAAGCCTGCATAGAACCCAATAGCCCCAAATGTTGCAACCCCACACCCTCCATGTTCTGATCCGCAGAAGCACGAGAAGAGCCCCAACATATTCATGCAACCCCCTCGAGCTTGAGGCACGTTCCCTGCCTGAGGACCCTATACCGATACCAGCCTATCCAAAGTCTTAAAACGCCCCACAAAGCCCCAAAAGAACCGGTGCTTAGGGCGTGGAAACCAACCACCCCTAAGCCCGAAACACTTAACGAAGAGCCATGCTCGATCTACAACTGCCGGTGATTTTCGCCTTGCACTCCGTGACCTCGGCATCTGGGATGCGACGGCAGTTCGAAGGCGAAGAGTATTGTAATGAGCGTGCCACAAGACTCCCAAGGGTTTTTGGATTTTGGGGTTCAGGCTTGCAAAATAGGCTGCCGAGCCAGGCAGCCAGGGCAGGGGTTGAGTCTTTTTGACAGGCCATCGCTTTCAGTGTCGGGCTTAGTCTTTACGGTTAAACCAGTAGTAAACCACAACTAAACCCGCGGTCTCTTACGGAGGCTTACGACATAGGCCTAGAAGGGATTGTCCGAGAGTGAGGCGGTGAACCGGCACTCTGCTTGCCAACATGAAAAAGCGTCTTAGATATTTACACGTGGGTGTGACCTTTTTGTGGCCAGTTTCAGAGACGCAAGGAGCACCTTAATCATGACGTCTCGGTGGTGTTGGTGGCGATACCCACAACCCCAAAAGCGCAGCGCTGTTGTACGAGCTTGTTATAGAGACTTGCGCGTCGCACAGGGCCTTCCTTGACGAGAGTTTAGGGTTTAGGGTGGGCTTAGAGTCCTAGAGCTCCACTTGTAAGAGGGGTTGCAGCCAGTTGCAAAAAGAGGGGTTGCAAACTGCTAGACGCGACTCGACATGCTCTGCAGGTATGTGAAAGACTACCGGCAGGGATTACAAAATAGCAAGATGTCGTAGCCCTACGCCCTAAACCCACAGACATCCATAGACCTTCGAAGCCCGACAGCGCAAAGCAAAGCTCTCCGAACGCCTATGGGGCCCAGGTCTCCCTGACACTCCTGAACAAGCAGCTCTCTGCAGAGATCCCCTACCCTTGGACCATTGCACCTTGCCTTCCGAAATTAGGAAGGGTGGAGAGGCCTAGCCTCCCAAAGCTTGAGGGAACCAGGGTTTAGAGTTTAGGGTTTAGGGTTTAGGGCTGGATGGTTGTAACTGCTGTGGCCTACCAAGTTTTCGCAATTCAAGTTCGCAAGTGTTGCCCCCTTGTGTAGTCTGAGGTTGCTCTATCTGAGCATTGGCGAAAGCAATTCGGTTTCCAAGTTTGTGTGTGTGGCCGCAGGTTTTGTTGGCTCCCGACCGGCCAGCAACACAGGCTTACGTAGGCCTGCGAAGTGGTGCATCCGTGCATCCGGTGGCCGGAGGGCTCCGGATTCACGAGAAATGCAGATCCGATGTCGCTTTACCTTCCTCGAGGCGTTTGTGGACGAAGGTTCCTCAAGCCTTCGACGAACTGCCAGTGACCCGCATTCATTCCGACCGACCTACATCCAGGCTGACTCTACCGAGCAGTTGGACATGCAAAGAGAACTGAAGGGTTGCGCCAGTGTCGGGAGCATTGGACATCCGGTTCTTTGCTTTCGGCCCTGCGTGCGCTTTGCTAAAGGATACTGTGCACAAGGCTCTTCTTGTGCTTTCTGCCACGGGACACACAAGCCTGCGCGGATGCCGGAGAAGGAGGATCGCAAGATGCTGCGAGGCTTGTCCCTGGCAGACCTCCTGAGGGTGACACAGAAGCCACTGAAGCAGCGGTGGGGTGGTTCACCGAAAGCATGTCCAATTTTCGCTTTGCTAGCAGCTAGCAGATGAAGAGGAGTTCGCAAAACGAGCTGATCCCCATGGTGAGAGTTGCCGGCTGTCGCGCACACTGGTTTTGCAGCTGCAGCAAGGTTTGCTTCGTGCTACGATGAATTTCCGGTCTCTGCTGACTTTCGTCGCCGGGCGATGCCGGCCTACCACGGCGAATCAGCTCATGCAGCTGATGGAGGACCTCTGAAGAGGCCGAGTGCTCAAATTCCAGTAGGGACTCTGCATCAGGAGTGGTTTCGTCACGGCAGAGGCATCTTCGAGTCTTTGTGAGCATCATAAGTGTCATGGACCACCTGAAGATGAGACTAGACGGGCGTTAAAGGAACAATGTGCTTTGCCTGCTAGAGTCCCGTAGGATTGCTGAGAATTCACGTCTCCCACTTGCCACTGCAAGCCGGGCACCCTCAAGCCTAGAGCTCGAGGTCTCTGCGCTGCGTGAACTTTGCGATCTGACTATAGTGCAAGAAACTGGTTTTAGGGTTCATGGTTTAGGGTTTAGACTTCAGAGAGACCTCGTTCGGTCGAGGGTTTAGGGTTTAGGGCCTTAGAGAGATCTGAGCCCAAGGTATCGCCTTCTCAGTCAGTCTGGATTCGTGGGGAAGTCTCAGACCCTAAACCCGAAACCCTGAACCCAAAACCCTAAACCCTAAACGAATTCAGGAGTCAGCAGCCAGTGAGGGCCGCTCCTGCTGCATGGTCGGTACCACTGCTTCGAGATGCTCTTGCATAGGAGCAGTTCTCTAAATTAGGATCCCTTTTTAGGTCCCCAATATAGTACGGCATCCCTATAAAATGGACCCCAACAGGGACCCTAATTTAGCAAACTACCCATACGTAGCCAGTAAATCAATATCCAATATCCAGATAGTACTTCTACCAATCGTGCTGCCATGCTGCAGCTCAGCCACTGGGTCCCTTTTTAGGTCCTTCTTATAAGGGCGGCGTACTATATTGGGGACCTAAAAAGGGACCGTAATTTAGAGAACTACCCTAATAGCAATTTGTCGAGAATATTGGAGCCTGAAGACTTGCAGCGCACGGTTCTTCCAGACTCCGTATAAGCTCAGAATGGAAGGTTACCGTTGAAACCTCATAAGCCCTACACCAAACCTTTGTCTAAGTGTTCAGCTTCCAATTTTTCTGACTTTAGCTCTGGCCTTCCGGAGCTCAATGAGGTCAATGACGGCCCTTTTTGAATGCACCCTGGTTCCGCAACTGCTGGGCCCTGGTCAAGAAACTGACATAATGTGGACGTACAAATATGCGCACACAGTCATCTAAATATAGAATGTTCCGACGGCTTCCAGTAGTGTTGCAATGTAGACACTCCTCAACAAACAAGAACCCAGATTCAGGTTCGTGGTGAAATGCTGAAAACGGTGCAAGATCGAATATTCATTTTCGGCCTTCATAGGCTTGCATGGGCTTCTAGGGTTTTTAGGACTTAGCGGTGTAGGGCTCGATTGTTTCAGGTTCGTGGTTGAGGGCGTTAAGGGGTTTCGGCCTCAGAGCAATGCAGGACGCAGGGTTCATTCACTTGCCGACGGTGTCCCTCTTCGCGAATAGCGAAGAAATTTCAAGCTCACTTGCCCTCTTAGTCTCTTTTCGCGAACAGCGAATCGTTTTGGTGAGACTTGCTTCTGGTGTGCTTATGGGTGGAACTTCGGGAATGCGCTGCATGTGAACGCTTTAGCCACGGAGGACACTGCAAGATATCTTCAAAGACGCCTGAGGCAGAGGACCTCAGGTTGTAGCATTCGCAGTCCCCCAAAGACACCTTTCTTTTGAAGCAAGCCTCCCCACCGAGTGGGGTGCGACCATGATTGAAATATAAGTGAAACTATACAGAGACATGGCGACTCTGGCTCGATCTTGCCGCTCTCTTCTTTGTGACGGCGGGTGGCTCTCAGCGCTGTCCGAATGCCTATGGAGATCACAGAGATCAGTGCCGAAAAAAGAGCTGAGCAGTGCCAGGATCTACTATTACAGTATATTACACTATATTCTTATTCATATGGTAATTATTGCTGTTAGCATTGTTCGCATTATGTAGCTATTAATCTATTTATATTACTAATTGCTTGTATGATGCTATACTACACTATATGACACTGTGTTATAGTATATCATACTATATCATAGCTTTCTGATCGATCCCGACGGAGTTGATCTTTCTCCGGGTTGTAAGGTGCTCGGGACGGGACGATGCCCTTTTTGTCGCCCCACATGATCATGGAAACTACCAGGACCACTGTATTTTCAGAGCTCGTGAGGTTCTGCTGCAGTGCTTGGCAAGCATTCCATTCACGCTGTGGCTTGGCTTGCACGTGATGAAACCCCAGACCCGAAACCTGGGATGAAAAGCCAGCCAGGTTTATGGTTTAGGGGTTTAGGGTTTACGGGTTTAGGGTTTAGGGAAGCATTCTGATGTTTCAGCACGGTGTGGTGCATTGTGTGGGTTGTTGCCAACTTTGCTACTGCCAGCGGCCGCCACGGCCTTCATCCTAGCGCAAACTTTTCGACACCTTAGGACTTATACTTGTTGTATTTGGGTGTAACCGCGGACGATGACTCGTTGGGTGAGCCGGGTTCGCACTGTATCAGGAACCAGCTAAACGTAAGCCTGTGAACGGAACATCATTAGTTTTATTGGCCTGTTACAATAGAGATAAATCTTCAGAA